CTGTGACACATGTGCAACTAAGCCTGTGGTGATTTTTTTAGTGTCTCTGGGTCACTGGAATAAGACTGAGACATTATCTTAAGAGGGCAGCATTGAAACTGTAGAGCTGCATGGAGGGAGAGGGTGCTGAGAAGTGAAATACCAGGACTTCTATTATCGCGCCCTGTTTCTGTCAAAACCGTCTGACCTAGTGTGCGTCTGTACAGCTGGAACACTAAAATATGAAGTCCTAGATATTATGCAAACACACTCTGCAGACTTTGAGGTTATATCTGTGATTGTGACCTTTGCCCTCCAGGGATCACCAGGACGCCTGAGATTTCAGCTTGCCATTGAGAGTCCCCCCTCCACCCCAGTACCATCACATACACACACACTCAAACTAACACACTCTGTGTATGTTCAAGTGGACACACTGTGACCTTCACAGTCCGCCGGCCAAAGCCTCAGCCATGCCGGGAATTTCACTCAAGTGTGTGGCAGGACCATTAGTCACCCAATCAGAAAGAATACTCTGTCAAATGTTTAATAACTGTCCTCCTGCATGAATTGTGGGGTTGTCTACAGGTGTTTAATTAAGCCATAGCTGTTCATCTTACAATAGCTGTTCTTTTAATATTGGGCTACCAGTTTCTCCTCAGTTGTTACATTTTTCTAAGAGGTGGCACTCGGTTCACTCTGGTGGAGTGAAGTCTTCCTCTGGTGAATCTGTGGGCTTGACAGATATCCACAACAATTTATTGTAAGTTCAGCTATCTGCTCCACAGCCTGATCCCCAAATCCTATCGAAGTTAATCCTCACCTCACAGAGGTAGCTGATGGCTCTGGCTGTCAACCGACAGCCCCAGTGAGTCGTCTGACCCCTGACCTGACAGAGATGAGTATGTGCCTGCTTGTGTTTGTGTATACGTGTGTGTGTGTGTGTGTAAGACCCTTCTGCCCACATGTATAAACTGTGTCATTCTCATTAGCACAGTCATAGTGAATTTCCAGCCAATAGTTTATCACATTGCTGCAGCGGGAGTAAGCTAAAGCATACTATGGAGCCTCTCGGCCTTGGCCCTGACACAAGTTAATGACCTCAGTGGCACCTCTGCAGTAACTTTCCAATAAGCTGTTGACCCCAGCTCAATGCAGCCTGCCTGTGAAACCCATGTCTCAGTGCTGGCTGACACCTGGGCTGATAACATACCAACAGAGCAGCTACAGAATGTGGATGTGTTTGTGAAGATATGACAGACTTGCTTGACAGCACTGCATCTTAGTCATACACTGTCAACTATCATGAAATCATTCTTTATGACTTGTTTCTATTTAATAATAGACGTCTTTATGTTTTCATTTTACAACTGGTTGCTTTCCATTTTAAAAGTAATCACACCCCAAGTCTAACTTACCAATTGAGACCAGTTTGATGCGCTCTCTGTCCAGGAACTCCAGTGCAACAGAAACATTTTCCAGTTTCATCTGGCGGAAGTTGGGTCTGGTGTGGTACTTTCTGTACATTTTCTTCTGGCTCAAAACCTCCAGGAGTGAAATGAGCTTCAGCCCGTCGGTGAATTCCCTCTGCAGGTCGGTGATGGTCTTGTTGACGCACTTGAGGTGCTCGTTGCACCACCTGGTGAAGGTGTTCTGCTGGATCTTCTTCCATGGCGCGTCCTCGGCCAGGTCCTTCTCCGTGGCTGGCATCTCGTCGTCCTCCTCTTCCCCAAAGTCAGTGGCCTGGTAATACTGTGGAGGCAGCTGGTCGTCGCTGTAGTTATTGCTCATCATGGTGGCTTTTTCCGTGTCCACTTTTATACCTCGGTGACACTTGCTCGGCAGCGCAGAAAAACTTTAGCAGGTCGATGGCAAAGCGCGCTCTCGCGGAGGAAAAGTTCAGGCTTGTAGGAGTTTAAAAAAAGGCAGCCCGGAGATTTTTTCGGATGTACTTGCGAAGAAAACCACTTATGTCAGGACAGTGATGGATTAAATGATCCGATTGACAACGTGCGAGGCAGCCGGTCGTCCGCTTTTTTTTTTTAATTGGCACCCCCTCGACAAGTCGGTCCTTTCTATTATGGCCCCGAGAAGAATGTCGCTTTTTGAAAAATGGAGCTTCGTGGCAGGTGAGCTGGAGCAGCAGTGTTGAAAGTTTTGACTCTGTTTAAAACTTGACTGCTGAGAGAGGAAACTGTTGGGTATATAAAGGACCCGGGGCCGCGTCACTGAGCCTCTGTGATCATACTCTATTTGCTAATCCATAGGGATAACGGGAGTCGGGGGTCGGTTTACTGGGAGGATGGGGGCTAGGGATTGGTCAGACCCCGGGCCGCGCAACAGTTGCGGCATGCTTCTTATTTTTAGGCGCTCCTATTTGGGCGGCTGGGTGGTGGGGGCTGGGACTTCATGATTGTTGCGAATGTGTGTCATGCTCCTGGTCCAAGTGGCTGAACAATTGATCTAAGAAAAGAAAGTGAGAAGTGTAGTGAGTCCCTCTGTCTCAATAAATTACATTATAAAAAGAGGATAATAATAATCATTTAAAAAAAGTGGGGTTTTGCACTTGATCGCTGAGGCCTTGGAGAGACACAGTTTAGAGGATGAGCTCATCCTGGTAAAGATGAAGCAACTGCATTACGTGTGTTTCACAGCTATCTGCCACCCCAGAGTGAAATGCATTTCTATGTGGACAAGCTAAGGTCAATACAAGCTCAGGGAAGGTTATGGGAGAATGCTTTAAAAAGAAAACCATTTTTATTTGGCTTTTGATATACAGTGATTTATGTTTCTGCACCATCGAGCAAAACCACAGTAATTAAATATATTGTAGGAAAAGTGTTCAGTTATGTCACCGACCAGAACTGAGAGTTGTTGCCTTTCAACTCACTAAATTCAACAATTACAGCCCAATTTAGAAAAAAGTATATATTTTAATTCAAATTTAAATGTCTGCCCAGGCAAAGTAAGTCTAAACTGCCTTCTTGAATTGACTGAAAGCCAATAATCTCCTGATCAGTGACAACATGACAGCATTCATTGAAGATGAGGCTGCATGTAGAGTAGAGGTACAGTGGGACAGCTGTCGGTGTGTGTGCACGGTAAAATTAATAATCTATATACAAAATAAATCAGTTCCAATTAATGTTGTGTTTTCTGCAGGTTCCTGGACTGTCATGGCGTTGTGACTCAGCAGCCAGTGACACCAGACGCCAGCACCATGCTTGATGAAGTAGTGGGAGGTAATAATATCTGTGACACACGCAGAAGGCATTCTTAGGATACTCAGTCTGGACACAGCCATGGGTGTCCTTCAGTTACTCTAAAGATTTTTTGTTTGTTCCTCGACCATTTTAGCCATTTCTTTTTAGAGCAATTTTATATACGAATCACATAAACCATTAACCAACAGTTACTGTAAAACTGGCATTTGGATCATTTTGAGCTTATTTGAGCCAGAATATTCTCTAATAATAATGATAATAAAGTATGGATAAAATACAAGTATCTCTAAATTATGTCGTTATCTGTAGTGTTGTGTGAAAGAAATGTCAATAATTCCGTGATACGATTTATTCTGTTGTCGTATTGACATATCACAGTTCTCATGTTTGGAAGAAGTCAATATCTCAAGGTAAAAAATACTAAAATAATGCAGTACGAGTACAGAGGTACTAGCAGTAAAATGTAGACTCAAAAGTAAAAATCCAGCAAGTTATTTTATCTTTGAAACTGTGTCAGTCTTAAATATATTAGATTATTATTATTACTTTTATGTAGTAGCTTGGCAAAATAAAGCTATTGTTTTTTACTTTAGAGTAATCTATAGCAATACATCATTTTTATTAGTTCTTTACTAAAAAGTTAGTAAGTACAATATTTGCTACTGAAATGTAGCAGAGTTATAGTTTTAAAGTAGCATAATATGAAACTACTTTGGTTGATATTGTCACATAATAACTCCAACCCTTGATGGGAAGTATAAACCAAAACCAAAAACCATATCACAGAGCTACATCTGTTGCCTGGACACTGTTCACTTGACATTATATCCCCAGAGAGTGCCCAGGCTGCTTTCACAGTAAGCTTTCCACCTTTTTTAATTAGCTTTTTCCCTGTTAGCCTGTCAGTTTAATATATTAAATATTTAAGAAGGGATTTGGGGTGAATTTGCCGGACAGATAGGCCTGGGGCCAGAGCCCAGTTGATTAGGTTTCACTGGTGATCCGGGTCTGACATTTTGAGCGATAACAAACTTTTTATTCAGTGGCCACAACTTTAACACAGAATGAGACAGAAACCTGGTTCAGAATCAGTTGGGAATATTTGCAGGAAACTAATTAAATTTAAACCTCAAGTGACAGAGTTGTTCAGTTCAGTGAGGGTTTATGCTAACTGTACCCCCATGACTAGTTCTGCACATCCGGGCTACTTTTAGATAATTAGACACACTTAAACCCAGTAAACCATGAGTTGTGGGAATGGAGTAATGAGTGTAGTTTAGAGACCCTCATCAACAACGTTGACACCAGTTCCTGCCATCTGTAAAGAATACATGTCTGTGAGCTAATGACACGTCTCTGGAGTGAAGGTTATTAATATCCATACAACCAGTGTAATGTGATGCCAGCAGAGACATCACTCAGGTTGACTGCTGGTGAGTTCATGAATGGGATACCTTAAACCCTGAGACCATCTCCCAAGAAAAGAAAGCGCTCAGACATCATGTGTGGTGGATATATTTATTTTCTCAAGTCATTTACAGTACAAAATAGACTTCCATGTAACAAAATAGCCACAGCTATATTGAAAACAACAGTGCTATCAATATGTCAAGAAACAAGCTGAGAAACACTGAGCAATATAGAAGCTTGTGAAACTATGACAAAGTTAATGAGATAAGCTCAGAAATGATGAAAAATAATGTTCTGAATAAGACAACATTCATTATGTACCATTGCTGTCAATAGGAACTTCATTTCTATTGCAAACAGATGCTCTTTTATTTTTAAAACAGTGACAACATTTGCAGTGCAGTGGCGCATTAGTGTACGTTCATAAATAACGTTGGTCAGGCATTGCTTATGAAGGTTCTGTTTAATGACAAATGTTTCAGAAAAGATTTCAGTACATTTCTGAAATTTAGCAGACTGGAAAAAACCAGGAGTCATATTGCTCTTACAGGCAACTGAGGTCAAATGCAATCTAAATGCATGCAATGACTACACCACCACTGAACAAAGAGGTACTGAATATGATTAGCAATGCTAGTGGTTGTTCTGAATAACGTCACCATAAATAAACATTTAGACAGCATATCATTTGGCTATCAAATATACGATGCTCTTTCAAAATAGAATAAACTTTCTACAAAGCTAGTACAAATGGATTTAAGAAATATTTCTCCCATAGTACTGTATGTCACATGTATTTACATGAAATACAAAGTAACCGAATCAACATAAATTATATATTGTGCTTCTATATGTTTTCTAGCATGCTTTTCAGTTCTAAAATATGTTCACAAAAAAACATTTCACTGATGTAAACAATAATCTGAGTCCTTTCACATATACATATATTTATTATAACTGATGCTTAAACAAACTACATTTTTCTGACACCTTCCTATGTACATATTTTGGAACCATATCAATTTCTAAAATGCCCTCACATCTAAATAAACCCTGATCTTTTACGTCAGTCGCATCAGTGGTTCAATCCAGGTGTGACTGGAACAATAAACTTGGAAAACCCAAGCCTTAATAATAATTAATAGGAACAAAAGTTTATTTCACATCAAAATCTTAACTGAGTTGAGATGTTAGAAAACATGATAATATAGCTCGATCATCCGTGAATTTGCTCCCAAAGTTGCCGGGATGTACTGCATTTACTGTACATGTGACAGTGCAGTTGTTTTTCAAAGTGAACCGTGGGCAGGTATGATGAATCAGAAATACTGCACTGCCTTTCTGCCATCTTGCTTAACTGATAATTAAAGTGGGAGGTGGGAGTTTCAGAGTTGGACACAAGATGATTGTGAGGCAGAAGTGACAGAGCCTGGAGAAAAGCCCATAACTGAAAAACACTGTGAAGAAGAGATGGTTCCAGCCTTAAGAGGTGACATCAGGTTAAACCATATATATATTGACAGGTGCTTAGTTAGCCTGTTATACATGTTCTCTTTGTAATAACATATATCATTGCTATTTACAATGGAAATAAGTCAATTTAATATTCCTAAATTGTGTTGTGTGGCAGGATAGTTGGTATTGGCGTTAATTCATGGAGATTATTTTATCCAGGTTTGCGTTAGGTAGCATTTACTGAATTTAGTATTTAGGGGGAAGCAGTAATTAAATTAAGTAATTATTGGTCAACTCATGAACAAAAAATGCAAACTGCTTTTTCTAGTATAGTATTTTAAAGGGTGTACATTTCAGGGATTTCAGTGCATTAAATGTGCCGACTCCATGTTTGTCATTATTTTCCAAGACAACTATGAACAATATTTAAACAAACAAATAAATAAATAATGGTTAAAACAAATTGAAAACCAGTTGGTGCACATTAATAACCAAAACATTTTATCACATTGTTAGCTAAAGGAGAATAATATTCACAGACACAGAGGAGGAATGACACAGCACTAGCATACATTTAGTGGAGTGAGATCACATCCTCGTGTGGGCTCTCTGCAGGTCAACTCAGCCTCACAGCCGTCTTCAATCTTAAATGAGACTGAGCGCATCGTTCTCAGTCTGTGCGTCGATGTAGTACCTTCTCATTAGAGACCAAATTTTCCATACATATTTAACTACGCAGCTCTATCACACCTAGGTAACTCCAGTTCAGTCTATAGACATGGCAGGAGAGGACGAGGGCTGGTCTGAAGCGGACGTCGGTCCCTGTGCAGTTGTTGCCCATCCAGTCAACATCGGACGAGAGCTCTCAACAAGCTAGTCATCATTAGTAGCACTGCTGTGGCTGCAGTGATAGTCAAAATGGAGTTCCAACCTACCTCACTCCCCTGAGGGAAGACAGGAAAAGAGGGGTGTTAAGAGTCAGTTGAGGCTGCCAATTAGCCATGTGTTATTATGAATCCCACTGCTTTTCCGCCCCTAACTCTGCCTCTGATTTGCTAACCCTAACCCTTGCCCCCAACCCCCTAACCATCACCACCCTAATGAACGGAGGCAACGACTACGAGTCAATCAGAGGCGATTTAATGCGTGTCTTGCCTAGAAAAGCAGTGGGATTCATAATAATGGATCAGCCATAGATAAACCGTTTCGAAAAATAAGATTATTTGCTTTCTTACAGTCAGATGAGAAGATTTGTATCACCCTCTTATCTGTACATTAAGTGTGGAGCTGGAGCCAGGAGGCGATTAGCTTAGCTTAGCATAAAAACCGAAGCAAGGGGAAACAGCTAGCATGTAGCTTTGTCCAGAATTTAAAAATATGCTACATGTACTCCTGCAAAGCACCTCTGAAGTTCAGTAATGACTGTGTTGTATCTTGTTTGTTGAATTTGTACACACGCTGTTATTATTTCTTGACAAACAACAGTTTATCTGTCCGCCCAGCACTTAAATGCTGTCTCTGCTGGTTGTGGTGACGACGAAGACTCTGAGAAGTTACAATACTTGGCCAACAATTATCTCATTACAGCTCTTAACTCCCACAAAGACCACAAATTGTTGTTTTTACATTTCTTGATGTATACAGATTAAACAAACATGACAGCAACGTGTTGATTACTGAGCTTTAAATATGCTGGTAGGAGTATTTTTACATTTTGGACGGAGCCAGGCTGGCTTTTTCCCTCTGTTTTCAGTCTTTATGCTAAGCTAAGTTAACCGTCTCCTGGCTCTTGCTTCACATTTACCGCACAGATATGAGAGTGGCACCAGTCTTGTCATCTAACTCTTGGCAAGTAAGCAAGTAAGCATATTTCCCACAATTCCTGTAAATAACTTATTCAATGCCATTCAAGGAAATGTTTTGTTATAATTTGCCAAACTGCCCACCCGCCCCACGTCCACCTTCCATAAAAGCTTAATATCATTATCTACCTTCATTCAAATGTCTTCAGTTTAGACCCTCTTACAGCAACCACCACTAAATGAATCTTGAGCAATGATTCATATTAAAGGGTCACTTCATCCAAATAACAGAAAAACATATTTTCTCGCTTACCTTGCGGTATTGAACCACACAGATGCAATGCTAACGTTTTGAGATATTTCTGCCTCCATCCAAACACAAATCTCGGATATCTCAAAACGTGAGCCAATAAAACCAAAACGATCTGCATAGCTAGATACAATATGTGAGAAACTATGTTGTTTTTATATTATTTAGGTTAACTGACTCTTTAATCTAAGAACCATACATAGCATTATGCATCAGATAGAGATAAGCTCCTCCCATACCTTGCCCTCTGGGACGCCAGCTCCGACAACCAGCACCAGACCACAGCCACTATTACAATCATTCCTATGAAGGGGATGGAGAGAACAGGGTGCTCAGACGGATGGATGAATCTCTGAGGAGGGGATAAAAAACAAACACAAGGACCATGGGAATGAAGGGGATGAATGAATGGATGGATTGAAGAATCAAAATAATAAAACACAGATAAATAGGGTGTGACGACAGCACAAATGGACCACTACTTCAAATCACTAAATCAAAAGTGTGACATGGTCTATGGCCGCGACATAAAGGGGAAGGGTTGTGATGGAGTGATGTACATTTCCCATCAAACAAACAATGCATAACTTTATGGTGACGTACACATCAACTCAATGTGAGTATGCGTGAGCAGTCCTATGTGGCATTTATTGGCTGCATGTGATGTTATGGTGACAAAAAAAAAAGACATACAGCATGAATGTTGTGACTAGCGTGTAGTGGTATTTTTTGTCTCTCTATCCTCATTTTATTGTTTGTTTTTAATGCTTTGCTAAATTTGTTCAATCGTACAGGCTGAGAGGTCATGGACATTCAGAGAACAAGGACAGCATCAGAGACAGGCACGGGTAGACAGTTTGACACAACGCAGAGACATCTTATCACGGCTGTTGTAGACAAAACACACAATTTTAGTCCTGTTTGTTTCTAACGACATAAAACATGAAGGACCACACATACAGCACGTAGCATTGCTTCCAACCAATTTTCAAACATATCCAAGTTTTTTTAAGATTTTTGGATGCATATTTCCTTTAAGTGAAAGTCAACTTGCAGAATATTTAATCTGTCTTTGCGTGGTAATGCAGTGTCGTTCAGGTTGGTGCATTCAAGTGTTGCGTTCACAAACAGTGTCAAATAAAACCCAGAGGACAAACAATAAGCACATATAGACGTCATGAAAAGGACAATGAATTTGGTACTGTAGCTTCTTGCATTAAGGAGGTTGCTGTTGATGTTAGGGTTTCCCATGAGCACTTGAAAACATCAAGTCAAGAAAAACAATTACTATGCAACTATAATGTAACTGTGACAAAGGTAAAGGTAAAAAAAAGAGGTAAAATTCCTGTTAATTGTTTCAGTTGCCTATTTCAGACAAGTTCACTGCAAGTTGACTTTCATACATTATCTAATTAAAATAAACAGAAACCTGTCTTAAAATGGGGGAAAAGGAATTTAAAAATATAATATATGCAAAGATCCTTTAATTATTAATCCACCTGCATAGGATTCAGTGATTGAATAAGCATTATTCAAGCTTGATTTGCCTGATGCCTGAAATCCTTTCTGCAGATTGTTTGTGTTTTTGTCCAACAACAGTATTAAAGCATTACTGTCACAGAGAGGTTAGAACACAGACACAGTGTGGGGAGCGCTTCCCCGGCCCAAAGCACACAGTAAATACTGTGTGACAGGCCAGGTCAGTTCATATCAAAACATATATTGCTACAGTATGAGACACATAGAAAGTGGGCTCAACAGACACAGTAGGTGTGAGGTGAGGTGTGTTATGTGTTAGTTGACAGTGTGGGAGTGTGGGTGTAAAGAAAGAAAAAACACAGTTCTTTAATCATGTAAAAATTACGGATGGAAATTCTCTCTACTCCTAGAATAAGTTCACAGTAATTATTATTATTAAGTAAAACAAATTAAGAATAATGCAACCTGCTCTACAGATGTACAACTTAAATGTTGTAAAGGTTGTTATCATTAATCACTTAAAGTTGCACAGCATTTAAATCAGTTTCCCTATTTCTGACACCAACTGTATACTACTATCTTATTCATGTCTGTCCCTCACCTGAGCCCCCCCTGACAGCTTCTCCAGCTCTGCCTTGCAGCGCAGCAGCTCCTCCTCCAGCTCTGCTCGCTCCCTCTGACTGCTGTCATACAGTACCTGCAGCTCCTGCAGCTCCATCTTCAGACCGTCACACTAGAGGACATGGAGGGCAAATTCTCTTACAGTTGTGGATTTATTGAAACCAGTTTTAGTGCATGTGTTTGAAATCATCGTAAGTAAAAAGCAAAAACTGCTTGACCCAAATCTGTCCATGTTTTATTCATATTTTTAACTCCCAAGGCACTGTTTTTAGACACTAATGCATCATACCTCTCTCTGAACCTGTGAGGCCTTCTCCTCTGCCTGTTTGAGCTGGTCCCTCAGGGAGAAGATCTCCCCGATGCCTCCATTCCAGCCGGTTGGTGTCATGGGCTTCCCATCAAATGAAATATTCTTCTGGATGGAGGCGTCCACCAGGTGACAGTTCTCAGACTGGGCCATGGTCATGTAGCTCTCTGTCATGACCTCATCTGGGCCTGTCTCCATCTCCTTCCCCTCTGTGCCCTCCCCTGCGTCTTCCTCTTTCAGTGACAGGTAGACACTGGAGCTGGACAAAAGGACGAAATGGGGAAAAATATACTTTCAACTTCACCTGAACTACCTGAAAGTTCAATTCAGTGGGCTCCAAATTGGCTGGTTAGCATTCATTTTGCTTTGCGTTGTCCTTTACTTTGTGAGAAATTATTTGTTTCTGTTACAGACATGCCACCACATGTATCTTGCCAACCTTATAATAAGACTGCAATAAAGGATTATTTCATTCTTGACTAATCAAATTTAGATTTTTATTACTATCAGTTAATTGTTTAATCTAAAAATTGTCAGAAAACAATGAAAAAAGGCCCATCACAGTTTCTCATTAGCTTCTATCTGACCAACACTGCAAAAAAAAAACTTTAATTAAATTAAAAACGGAGCAAATCGCCTTTAATAAGCTGGAAATAGAGAATGTTGCATTGTTGCATGATAAATTCAATTTGATTAATATTTTGTATTATTATTGTGGGAAAAAACAATCCCCCCACAAGGTTCATTTAGTAACTGTGATGCTGTTGTCTCTGCTCTGAAACAACACAGAAATCTAATCAGTGCACATCTTTAAAAACATCTTACAAACTCGTTTGTTTCATTTGTTTTTTTCTTGATTTTACAACTATTACTTCTTTCCTGCTGTATATGTTGTCTTTTCTATCTCCCTTTTCTTATTCCTGTAAAGCGTTGTGTAACTTTTGTTTTGAGTAGTGCTATAAATAAAGTTTGCTCTTGCTCTTGATGCATCACAAGATCTTCCTCAGCAGATGGAGTATGCCCTGTTCTCCATCTGCTGAGGAAGAACATGTGATGCGTTCAAGCATTTTCAGGACAACTACTGAACAGATCTGGTGGGGAGATTGTTTTCATGGTCAGGGATGAACGTTAAATTGTTGTCTATAAATTTTCTGTCAGTCTAATCAATTAATTGACTAATGGTTTCAGCACTTATGTGTAATCCCTCGTATGATATTACAGTTGTACCGCAGTGATTCAACAGGTGGCCGGTCTTTTCTAAATGAGGTGACGTGAATGGCAGTGACGAGGGGGTAGTATTCCAGAGGGTCTCCCCTCCAGCTGATCCAGTAAGCACAGCTGATGAGTGAGCAGTCATTGACCCCTCACCATGTCCTCTGTCTCTGCAGCAGCTGCAGCCTCTCAGTGAGGCGTCTGTTGTCTTCTTTCAGGGTCTGACACTCCTCTTTCAGCATACGGCACTCCTCCTTCAGCAGGTCCACGTCACCTGACAGAACAAAGAAGGTCAGAAAGGAAAGTGCGGAGATGCAGGAAGTAGAGCTCATCTTTAATCTTAACATCATTACGACATGTATAGAATATATTAAATGAATACTACATATGCTTATTCGCTTTGTTGCAGAGAGTTAGATGATATGCTTGATCCCACATTCATATCTGTCAAAAATATGACGCTACAGCCATCAGCTAGTTAGTTATGTTAGTATGCTAATAGCTTAGCATAAAGACAGCGAACATGGGGAAACAGCCAGCCTGGCTCTGTCCAAATGTAACAAAAACCACCTACTAGCACCTCTAAGGTCACTAATTAAAATATTATAATCTTGTTTGTTTAATCCGGACTATTTCTTGGCTGGGACCAGTTGCCAGGCAACCAGCGGAGACTCCAGGAAGTTACTGGTCCTGGCCGAAGAAATAATCAGACGCATACCCTCCATCAAGGCACCTACAATGTCAGACTTTGACTGTACATTCTGGGTGATGTTTTCATGAAAGAGCACAACAATGAAACCATATGAACTGCCCTCCCTCAGTCCCACCCCAGGCTCAGCTGCAGAGCCCAGCAATGACATCATGTGCTCGAAGTGTGTGTCCCTCCCCCTCATGACTTAATGTCCCTGCAATCCTAAATGCACTCACATCCACACACACATACACACACCACTCCCCTTGAAACACTCAGCAAGCACATTTATAATTTGTAATATTTATTAAACCCCACAAATGATTTATGTGCTTGACTGCGGGATGCTAACATGATGTGAGCATGGAACAAGAACATCCATAACCCAATGCTTTGTTTTCATAATATCATCCACAAAGGCTGATCATGGGCTATTTGTAAGTTGGATAAATTCCATATACAAGCAGAGACAGTGGGTTTGTGTTTTTTTACTGTATTTTTAGTAGGTCCTGATGGCTGTACACACACGCACACACAAAGTGTGAAGATGAGGTGTAAAACTAAGGCATATTTTATTTTAACTTTGATGTACTGTAAGTAAAAGAAAAAGTAGGGGCGGAGAACGTATGTGTAGAAACTACTCTGACATCCGTCTATACCCGACTTCTCTGTGTTTTTTCTCTCCTACTACTTCTGTACTGCTCCTCATCCCTCACCCTCTCTCCTCTCCGCCTCCCTGCGCTGGCTCTTCATGCTGATCTCGGCTCTCAGCGTGGTGATCTCCAACTCATACTCCTGGGTCTCCTCGCTGAGACGCTGCAGCTCAGCCCGCCGGCGACATAGCTCCTCCTGCAGAGAGGCGATATCATTCTCCCTCTCTGCAGCCGCCTCCTCTGCCGCCTGTTGGAGCAGGAGCACCTCCTCTTGAGCCACACGCAGCTCCTCCTGGGCCTCGGCCAGCTCGCTCTCCTTCTCCTCCTCCAGGCTGTCCATCTCCTCCTGCACAGAACGCAGCTGTGCTGTGGGGAGAGGAGGAACATAAGGTTAGCTTTACTTTATGGGGGATGTGTGGGTGAGACTGCAGTATCAGTATGGGTGTAGATGTGTGTGTGTGTGTGTATATATGATCTTACCTTAAGTTTTGCAGCAGTGGACCTGCTTGTGTTTATGTGCGTGGGTGGTGTGTTCTTGCACGTGCATGTGCCTCTGTGTGTGTGTGTGTGTGTGTGTGTCTACTGTATGTGTGGGTACTGGTTGAAAGAAGAGCTGATGTAACTGATGGTAACAACCTTTTTCTTCAGGGTCAGATTCAGATTATTAGTTTAGTATTGTCGGGAAAAGAACAACCTCTCCACTTCTCACAATAACAACAACAAGAGCAATAATACAAAGAAATGGCAATAAAACCAGTAATAACTCATTTTCCCAACTGGCCAAAATATGTTTGCTTTAAAAACAATCTGTGCCATCTTTTCTATTTTTCTTTGTCTCTTTTCATGTAAGGGGTTTAGAAATCTGTTTCAACAAAGATTTTATAGCAGTGTATAGTTTTTTCTTCCTCCTTTCTATAATTATTCTTTCTCTTCTTTCTTCTTTTCTTCTTTTTTTCCCTTCCCTTTCCCTCAGAGCCATTATCCTTTTTTGGATGAGTTATGCTGTGTTGTTTCTGAGGTTAGTTAAATCACCCCCGTCATGATTGAGCACATTTAGGCTTTTTCACAATTAATTGTTTCTGTGGGAATTATTTCCTGATTTATTATCTACCAAAATGTAATAAAAATTGCTCACAAAAAACTAATAAATAAATACCCCAAAATCAATAAGCATTTAACATGTTCTAGTAAATTACATTCCAGTAGACTTATATAGCACTGTCTGTCTGAGACTATTCAGTAGAGAGCTAGTGGGACAATGAATCAAGAGTAATCGAGAAATAATTAAATGAAAACATAGGAATTGATGTTTATCAAGTGCTGAGTGTTTTATTATGTCGATACCTTGTAGATTCTGAATCTGGCGTGTGAAGGCTTCAGCCTGATGGGCACTGGCCAGACGCTCATCCTCCAACAGCCCTGGTGGAGTGGTGAGGTGAGGAGAGGAGCGGAGTGGAGTGGGGAGGAGAGGAGTGGGGAGTGGGCAGAGAGATAAGAGGAAAATGTCACTTCAGCAGGCCAATAGAAAGATGACAACTTGATAAGCTGTTCAACCTTGAGGCATGACTGAATGACACTGGCAGTTTTGTGTGTCTGTCTGTGTGTTAAATACAGTGTGAGCAAGAACCATCAATACAAGATGTGTATAGTAATAGTATATTCATTTATTAGACAGTTTTCTCTTCAAAATACGGCAGATTATTTTAACTGCAAATTTTTTTTTTGCTCTTTTATTTTCTATTTTTAATTTTATGTTTGTCATGTGAAGTAATTTCTGCAGAATATTCCGGTGGTTTTAATACAGCTGCTAGTTTAATACACATTAACGTCAGTTGAGTATGTATATTGTTAAAGGATCAATTCACCCAAGCTTAATTTTTACATTTCTAAAATGAAGGCTTAATTTTTAGCCACTAGGGGCATGACACTAGGGATGGCTAGATTGGTCGGTCTGTCCACCGCTTTCATCCAGACTAAAATATATCAACATGGGTTTCCATGAAATGTGGTAGCCTACAGACATTTATTGATCCCTGATTTTTATTCTAGTGTCATCATCAAGTTTTAATTTGTGCAATATTTTGATTTATCACCAAATACTTGGAAAAACTAATGACATTTACATCAGCCGCACCTGCAATTTGTGATTATTGCCAATTATTAGCATGCTAATAATAATAAATATTATACCTGCCTAACATCAGCACGTTAGCATTGTCTTGTGATCATGTTAGTATTCTGACATTATCATTATCATCATCTTTCCTTTTATCTTCTAGGTCCAGTGTGCAACATTTAGGA